TCAGATGGCCCAACAAGGCCCAACCCAATTTGTTGGTCCATCTTCGACCATCAAAAATAACCAACTAGTTACCCCTAGTCAACTAGTTAATCCTTACCCAGTATCTAGTTTCTAACCAATTTTTGTAGCCTAAAAAGACCCTAAAGTTGATTATATTAAGAAAGGTGAACCTCAACCAGTATTCGTCATTGAACCAATCCATGCTCACATAAGCAACCTAAAAGATCTAATAAATGCATATCTCGAATCAGGATGGAACTTTATCCCATCTGACCCAGAGAAAACATTTAATTTTTACCAGGATATTTTGTTCTTTACCCAATCTATTTCTATCAAACTCATATTTGATAAGAAAGAACCCAGTAAAGTCATATATCATTCCTTATATATTTTAATGTTCATTTCTCTCAAAGAATGAGGATCATATCCTTCATTACTCAGAGACCTCGAGAGATATGAAAAGAAATTTAGCTACTATGATTACATTGATTCATGATATAAACTTCTCCTCTATCAGGATGAGTCATTAACTCACTCCTAGTTCATTCAGTTCGATAAGAATTTCAAAAGCCAAATTCCTGTTTGGTTCGCACAGTGGTGGCATCTTCATGGCCCCATACCTGAAATTCTTCCACTAAACCTACAAGATTAGGTCACTTATTTTGCTTCTGTTTATAAACCTTATTTTTATGACAGAACTCATTTCACGAGTTTGTTAATTTTTTTTACCTAATATAAACTTCCTTGGATCTATAAGTGGTCTTGAGAAATATGTTCTAACTTTGTTTGCAGGCAATCCAATGTGAAATGGTGGCTCAGGTTCCAACATGACCACATCATTGTCCTAAGTCAAAAAGGAGTTCCCAGTAAAGGTTCCGGCACCAATTTCAATATCAACTGTTGCAGCTACCTTTCCACCAGTAACTCTAACACCAGCAAAGGCTCTGCCGGCCCTTAGGGTTTCTACACCAGAGAAAACCCTGACTCCAGCCCCGCTACAAGCAACAAAACATAAGCAAAAGAAGTCCTCCTCTAAGGATTCCAGTAAGCCTTTAGAATCATCAAAGCAGAAGTCTTCTAAGCTCATTGCCCTAACCTAGAAACTTCTTCAACAGGCAGCAAGTTGTAGTGATTCATCCTCCCCGACATCATCTGCAGGATTCATTAACCCATTTGTAGATTTGGGTCCAAATAGTCAGGATCCATTTGATGGAATTGATGACCTCACTCCTGACCTAGCTTCTCCTTGATTCTTCGCCTTATGTGTGATAGCTTCACTCACTACTTTTTTCACCTAAAGAAAGAAAAGTTGTCTATTACTTATAATATTAAGATATCAATCAGTACATCAGCTCTTTCCCCAAGAAAAGTAGCTGACAATACCCATGTGCTCTGCTTTTCCATCGAAAGTAAATTCTTTTCTCCTGAGCCAGGGACCCACTTAGCACTCTGCCCTAATTTTCAGACATCAGGACCCATTAAGAGTTTTTTGTCAAAAGTTACCTAAGTAAAAGTATTTTACCCATATTTTTCCACCGAAAGTTAAGGTGAAAGTCTTTTGCAAAGGCACATAAACCATTACACACCTAGCAAAACACTCTCACCTCCACCAAAACCCTGTATTTTAGAGATCTCTCATAATAATGCAAATGAAGAGTTTTGTCCTATCCTCTTTCACTACTAGCCCACTTAGTGCTAGTATTTTAAGTATCTTAGTTTTATTTCATATTGTAATTTATGTACTTTTGTTTGTAAAATTATTCTACACCTTGTGATTCTCCTTGAACTTACATGAATTCCGCACTTTCAACTATAGTAACATTAAAAAAAAAAAATATAGTAACATTCAAATATAAAAAAAAAGGTGAAAATTGGAAGTAAGTTTTTCAAGATGTACTTGTTTGGAGATAAGTCCTCCAAGAAAACTTATATAAAAGCTAAGTCTATATTTAAAATTATATGTAATGACTTAAATTTAATTTTTTTTTTATATCAAAAATACCCTTTCTTGAAAAGAGGTTAAATTAGTTTTCTATTTTGAATATAGTTATCCCTTAATTAAATGTCAATTAAAATATACCAATAAAATCTTTATCATAAATTTAAAATTCAAATTCAAATCTCTCTCTCTCTCTAATGGTGTTGTTTCATCAATGTACATCTTTTAATTTTCTATGAATTATGTCAATTTTGTGGGTAACGGATGAGAATCTTTGGTCCTTATTAATTTTTTGTTTTTTGTAATTTGTGGTCTTTTTTGTGGGGGTTAATTTGTTAAATTGAATGTTTCATGTTACAATTTTATTTATTATGTTACTATTTATGTTACTGTTTTTGTTGAGTACGTTACTGTTTATGTTTTTATTATTTAGACGTGTTACTGTTTTTGTTGAACATGTTACTACTATTATTTTCGTAAATATTAATATTTTATGTTACTATTTTTTTATGTTTTTAAATATTACTATTTTTTGCGTTTAAATTTGAGAGAAATAATTATTGTTAAATATGTTGTAATTTTTGTTAAGCATGTTACTATTTTTGTTGTACATGTTACTATTGTTATTTTTTTAAAATATTAATATTGAATGTTTCAATTTTTTTATGTTTAAATGTTACTATTTTTTTGTGTTTAAATGTATTATTTTTTTTGTCCAAATAATAACTTTTTTTTTGTATTTGAATGTTACTATTTTTTATTTTTAATGTTACTATATATATATGAGAGAGAAAAATTTTTACTGTTAGTCAAACTCTTAACTTATATATGAATATAAATAGATATGAGAGAAAAAATATATTAATGTTAGTCAAACTCCTAAGATTTAGGAGTTTTTAATTTTTAATTTTATTTCACTTCTAAAGGGAAGGGATAATATGATAAAATTAACAAAAAATGGACTTCGTAACAAATAAGTTTCTTTGACGGACTTAAGTCCAAACAAATCCATATAGGGGGGTCTGGCCTCCAAATTTCCCAAAAGTTATCATTTAGACACAAAAAATAATACCATTTAAACACAAAAAAAAGTAACATTTAAACATAAAAAAATAGTAACATTCAATATTAATATTTAAAAAAAATAACAATAGTAACATGTTCAACAAAAATAATAACATACTTAATAAAAACAATAACATTCTTAACAATAATTATCTCTCTCAAACTCAAACACAAAAATAGTATCATTTAAACACAAAAATAGTATCATTTAAACACAAAAATAGTATATTCAAAAAAAAAATAGTAACATTGAATATTAATATTTAGGAAAATAATGGTAGTAACATACTCAACTAAAATAGTAACATGCTCAAAATAATAGTAATATAAACAGTAACATACTTAACAAAAATAATAACGTGAACAATAATTAGATAGTTTTGATGGATAAATGAAACATTAAGATTTGTATGCATACGACATAGATATCTGACATGAAGAAAAGACACTTTGATCTATGAAGCACTAGAAAAAAAAATAATAGAGAGACACTTACAGGTTCTAAAGGTCGTGGCATTTCTTGTGCTCCGACATTTGACGTGCTTGACATGCACCATGCATGCACTAATTATGCTAATGGAACTTTCATTGGATCAATTGCGCCCCTTAATGACCTTGGATCATGAAAACCACTATCATTCCATTCCATCCATTTGTTGTCTCTCTTCCAGCAACACCTTCAACTGGAAGCACCATCACGCCCTAATTATTCACTGCATAAATTAGCGAAAAGCAAAGGGACACAAGTCTAAGCAACTGTAAGTGGCAATTTGATTTAATTTCCCAGACACTATTCCTTAAACTCTTTATACTTTCTCTCTACTTCTATTATTTGTTTATGTTATTGTCCATGTTATATATATATATATATATATATATAAATGTTCCAGTTGCTGCTTGATTCAGATTTTGAGTTTGAATTTAAATTTGAATTGTTAATGAAATCTTTTGATCTGAAATTGAATTAATAGACCAATGATTTTGTCGTAATTTAAGCATCAGATTATGATATATTCGGTTTTCATAATAAATTGAATAATCTGTTACCATATCTATGTCAAAGATCTAACATATGACTTTTCATAATTGACTAAATTTAACACTGTTAGGGATATTTTTGAGATAAAAAAAAAAAGTGGACTTAAGTCATTACACATAATTTTAAACATGAACTTAACCACTTATAAGTTTTCTTGTTGGACTTATCTTCAAACAAGTACATCTAAGGGGACTCACCTCCAATTTTCACTTGAAAGTATTGGTCCATCTGGTAAGGTGAATATAAAAAAAAAGAATAAAAAATGAGGGTGATAGATCTTTTATTTTTCAAGAATGAATCATTCTTTCTTTCCTTTATGTTTGTTAAGATCAAAAAAGTATTTTTTTTTATTTTTTACATATTTTATCATTATATATGTATATAAAATTAATGTATACAATACATAATATGCAATTGATAAATATGATATATCTATATATCAAAAGATATATAAATAAAAAACATATATTTCAACACACATAAATACATAATTAACTTTTCATCCACTTTTACTCCTAATTTTGGAGGGACTAATTTTTGTGAGTTGGAAGAAAAGCTTATCTATCCACTTTTTCATCCTTTTTATCTTCTTCCTTAACAAATATGATATTTTATCTTTTTCTCTACTTTTTCATTTTTTTATTTTTCTATAATACCAAACAAAGTATAAAATTTGAGACTATTCAAGCCATCAAAGCCCTACAAAATAAGATTATTGGTAGGCAGGAAGTGGAGTACCCAGCCCATAATGGAAGGCCCAACATAGCCCGAAGTTTTGGGGTTTAACTGCTCTACACCCTCCAGCCCAAAAGTCAGAGGGCTGTCTACCTGTAAATTATGCGATCCTCGCAAATCTTGAGACGCCGTCGTTTTAACATGATTACCTTCTTGCCTGGCAAGAAATTACTGCCTCAGTCAGCAGCTCAACTCTATTTGTTGAATCTTTAATTCAATTTTGGGGTTCAGAATCTTTTGAACTTTTTCTTGCGGAATCTTACCCTTGCCGCCCTCTCTCTCTCTCGCTCGATCAGACGCAACTCCTTCACAAGATAAAGCATGAGCAAAGGACCGGGCCTCTTCTCCGACTTCGGTAGAAAGGCCAAAGGTAAAGCTCTCTCTCTCTCTCTCTCTCTCTCTCCTGCCTTATATATACACTTACATGCTCAAGTCTATTTGTGATATCTGTTGAGGTGAGGCGATTGTTGATTTGCAGACATATTGACGAAGGACTACATTTCCGAACAGAAGTTTAGCATTTCCACTCAGAGTGATACCGGAGTGGTATGGTCTTTTTATACTTTGCCTCAATTTTTCTGTCTTTTTTCTTGTTTCAATTTTTTTCTGCTATTAATGCCCTATCAATCAAGTTGTTCCGTTGAATCATTTATAAACTTGTAAATTAATTTATCAATTTGACTTCTATTATCTAGTTGCAATCTGAATTTTCTTTTCTGCGATTTGTAGTGTGGAATTGATGAAAACTAGTTTAAGAATAACTGGTGCACGAATTAAAGGAAATCTAAGCATTAGTTAGTTAAAAAGAGCATTTGATATTTTCAATTGTAAATCGAAATCCCAAATCCACTCATAGTGCCTTGTGATTTTCATTCGATTTTTTTCTATTTGCTTGTCTTAATCTATTCCGTATTCAGACAGTCTTATTGTTTTTCTTTTGGTGATATTTTTATGATATGGATTTTTTCTTTTTGGCCAATAAGGAAGTTCTTACAAGTTAAAAAGTGAAAGGATAGTTGTAATAAATACTTCAAGGTGGTTGTCTTCAATAAAAATTACAAAAAAGATTTTATGAAAATTTGATGAAGAGGAATAAATATAGAGCTTACTAGTTGCTATATGTTTTGTCAGAACTTGTAGGAAACTCTTCTTTGCTGATTTTTTACGATAGTTAGGGGAATGACTGAGCAGCTGTCAACTGGCTTGGGCATTAATTCAGTGCATCACTCAAATCATGATGATAAATGATTTTAAGAAGTAGAAAATTATGGGCAAAGAGCTGTTGGTTTTTCCTTTTCCACCTGAGAAGTTAACGTGCTAAAAACTGAGGAAGATTTAATGTATGAATACCACCTACTTTCTCTGATGTCGTGGCGATTCAAAAATGTTCTCAATTTGTAATTGGCTGATTTTACCTATCTTAAGATTGAAAAGTTGTGATCATGGTATTGTTATTCCAACTTTTCCTAGTCTGGTGTCGAGGATTCATAACCACTTTAGATGTGCCACGTATGCTCAGAGATTCTAATGCTAGCCAGTGTTGTTTGATTGAGGCCTTGGCAGTTGGTGGCCTTGCTTCTGTAGTTTGGGTTAGCTATACACTTGCTAGTTTGATGTCACGGTATTGCTTGCCCTTGCTGTATGATGTACTGTTTGAGCATACTCTGCAATGATTGATTGCTATGCTTTGCTTGCTTATTTCTTTCCCTACCTGATCCTGTGCCTAATGTCTCCAGGTCCTTGCTTCAACTGTAATGAAGAAGGGAGGACTCTCCTCTGGTGATGTGGCAGCACAATACAAATATAAGAATGCCATAGTTGATGTCAACATTGATACAGAATCAAATGTAGCTCCTTAGACCTCTCTCTTTCTCTTTCTCAGTATAATATATCTTGTTGCTAAGAACAATTCCTTGGCTTTGCAGATCTCAACAACCCTCACTGTCACAGATGTTCCAGCATCTACCAAGACCATTGTTTCATGTAAATTGCCTGAATACAACTCTGGCAAGGTATCTTGCAGATTGACCATGGTCTTGAATTTATGATTTGCAACTAGGATAGTTCTCTGGCCTTATTGTTTGCTTTCTTTTGCAGATTGAATTTCAGTATTTCCATGAACATGGGAGTGTCACTACAGCTGTTGGTCTGAACAAGTCTCCAGCTCTTGATCTTTCAGCAACCATTGGTACTCCAAGTGTTGCCTTCGGCAGTGAAGCAACCTACTTGGTATCCTCCGGTAGTTTCACCAAGTATAATGCAGGAGTGCGCTTGACTAAGCCCAATTTCTGTGCATCCGTGATTTTGTAAGTTCAATGTTGCAAGGCTATTAACTGGTTTGGAACTTAATGAAAAAATCGTGTTCAACCATGTATTAATTTGGAATATAGCCTCATGAAAAATAAATGGACAGGGCTTTGTAATGTACTGTGCTCCTACTGAGTTGCTGGTCTGGCTTATTCTTCCAGGGCAGACAAAGGAGATGCACTAAGGGCCTCATATTTGCACCACCTGGATCATCTGAATAGGGGAGCGGCAGTGGGTGAGATCACTAGAAAGTTCTCCACAAATGATAGCACATTAACAGTTGGCTGTTCGTATACTGTTGATCCTCGGACGGTGGTAAAGGCTAAGCTCAACAACCATGGCAATCTTGGGGCTCTATTACAGCATGAGCTGAAACCCAAGTCCTTCCTGACAATCTGTGGATCTTTTGATACAAAAGCCATGGAGAAGAGCCCCAAGTTCGGATTGGCACTCTCTCTTAAGCCTTGATTGCCAATTTATTGTTATTTTTATATGATCAAATGATTGAATTCACACTTTCATTTTTTTCAGTAACTAGAAAAAGGAATTACCAATATGTACTTCTATGAGATTTATTCTTTTTTCATAATATAAGATTGATTTGAAGCTTGGTCTCTGTACCGGTCCTCAATGCGGGACAGATTCGAAGCCTTGTTGGATTGCTAAAGCTTGCATTAGAAAGATTTATTTTGGACAGGGGTGTTCAAATTATTGATTACTCGCAATTTTCTACTCTAACCGATTTTATTAAACGGTTAGCCAAAAAAATTGAGTAGGAATGCGGAAAGAGTTTTTGGTCTTCCAATTGAATTAGGTAAGAATGCGGAATATATATTAATTTTTGTATTCCTATATATATACTAAAAATCCCAATTTCTTAACTATATGGTTTAAACTTAAAATAATTGTTATTATATTTTTGTAACAATTATAATAGATTGATGTTCATGTTTTATTGTAATTGTTTTAGATTTTAGTGTTATTGGTTTATTGTATTGTTAAATTGATGTAAGTTATTTAATTAAATTATTAAAATGATCCAAAAATTAATAATTATAAAAATATTCACCTAATTTTTTATCTGATTTCTTATCCAATTAATTTGGCCCGAAGTAGGGTTGAAATATCACACTTGATCGAGTAGAGTAGATTAAGAAAAAATTATTTCATAAAATATCGAATAAGAAGACAACAGATTATATTTTTTATCCATAAGATTGGTAAACACTCCTAATTTTGGGTAATGCGCTGTCTATCGACCTATTCAAAGTTCCCTAGAACCTCAGAGGCCAAAAGGTTAGAACCCTTGACAATTTAGATAGTTTGAAAGGCAACGTCTGACTAGTAATACCTCGATATTTTAAATGCAAGTCTCATAATATGTGTCCTAATCAACACTTTTGACTAATGATTGAGGGTGGTGTTAATGAACAGTGAGGATGATTAGGTGGTGGTGGCAGAATGGTGGATGTGCGTAGTGGAGTGGAGGTGACGGTGGTTATTTTGTTCTTTAATGGAAGAGAAGAGGAAGATAGGGTGGAAGACACCGAGGGATAGGAATGTCTTTTTCTTATCTCTGTTAACGGTATTAGCTGTTCTGTTTGATCCTAAATCACAAGGGGGTTATCTGTATATTTTTAAACGATAAAGGGGTGATGTGCTCTAAGGACAAACCACAAGGGGATAAAATGAAATTTGCCCTAATTTATATCCCATCGCTTTCAAGACCAATTGGCCAAAACATCTGATTAGCTAATTGAGGACCATGGATGTGTTCAAGTCTTTCAAAACGACCAAGTCTACAGTGTTGAAAAAAAAATTAATACTGTATCAATATTTTATAAATTTTGTGGTTTTTTTTTTTATAAAATTTGAGATTCATTTATAATATTTGAAAATTATTTACAACTTTTGAGAATCATTTACAATCTTTAAAGATAATTTAAAACTTTTGAGAATTACTTGGGATTGATCCTAAAAATTTTAGGATCGATTACAAACAGGTAACCTCAAAAGTTGTAAATAACTCTATAATAGTTATGAATTGGACCATAAAAATTGAAAATTTTTTAATTATAGAAAAATTTAAAAACTAATATTTCAATCCATAAAATTTAAAAAATTGAAATTTTTTTTGACACCATTGAGGTAGTCTTTTCCATAGCAATTAATTAGAGCAGAGAAAGGTGGCAAAGTAAAAGCGCATGGATTTACTTTTGGGCAGAGAGGTCTCAATCACCAAGGACGACTATTCGCGATTCAGCTTTCCTTATGAACGTAAAAGACCGGTACTGGTTGCGGTTAGAGCGGAACTTTATGCTGGTTTTCCCGTTAAATTCATGGGAAAAACTCAAATACAACGAATGCCAATCACATTACACCTCATTTCATATTTAATCTATATGTTCTATAAACATAAATTCTAAAATAAATTAGGAAAAATTTCAGATACACTTTTTTTTTAGTTTGTATTATCTTCAAGAACATTTTTTATTATTCAAAATTTTACTGAGAGTCCTTTTAATTTAAATTTAAATATTACTGACACCATTTACCTTTATATTAACATTTTTAATAAAAAAAATTATTCAAAAATATCAAAATTATCCCTACATAGATTTCAAACAAACTTTCTACATAAAATTTAATAAAAATCAAGTCGATTAAAATTTATTTTTTCTATAAATTAAAATTTGAGTTCATTAAAATTTATTTTCTACATATTAAAATTTGAGCCAATTAAAATTTAATTCAACCTGATTAAATTTTATTTTTTTAAGTATCAAAATTCCAGACGATTTGAGCTCTTCTTGAACCGTTAGTGTCGATCAAAATTTGCTTCGAGCCGATTAAAATCCGTGTTAATTAAAATTAAATTCAAGTTGATTAAAATTCATTTTTTACGTATCAAAATTTGAATCAGTTAAAATTTATATTTTTTATGTATCAAAAATTAAATTTTAATCAGCTCGAATAGAATTTTAATTATCTCCATTTTTAATACGTTCACAAATATAAATTTTAATCAACTTCAATTTTAATACATAAAAAATAAATTTTAATTAACTCGAATTGAGTTTTAATCGGTTTAAATTTTAATATGTTAAAAAATTTTAAAAAAATAGATGAAGTCTCATTGGAGATATGTCTACCTAGAAGGGGTATGGATGAAATTTTTCTTGAAGTATATTACGAACAATTTAGTAAAATTATATTTTAGTTAATATTTTTAATCTAATATGAAGTGTCAATGAAGATTCAAAAAATAGAATATGTATCCTTAAATATATAAACTAAAAAATGTGTGGTTGAAATTTTTCCAATAAATTAACACAACAAAAAAAATATAGGACAACCAAAGACCGAATTCTGAAAACTCGAAAATAAGAGAAAGGACATGTTTGGTTTGATTTTCAAACACAATTTTTTGTTCTTAAAACTCTAAAAACAAGGAAAATTTTGTTTGTTTAGTTTTTTGTTCTCCAATTTTTTGAAAATTTTGGGAAATGAGATGTAATTTTAGAGAACAACAAATGTTTTCATTGTTTTTTAAGGTAAAATGAAAACACAGGAAACACACTATCTCTAATTTAATGACGTCTCTCCTTCGAGTTTCGTTGGAGACAAAAAATGGTGACCAGCTGTTCATGTTCTCCACCGCACTCTCTCTCTCTCTTTCACAACTTTCCCTCTCTTCCTCCCTCTGTCTAATCTAGCTTCAGACTGTATATATACATAGATTTGAGACATAGATCTGTGCACGTCTGTGTGAGTGTGAGTGTGTGTGAGAACTCATCTCCTCTCTCCCTTTCTTTGCGCAACAGATCTGTATATGTACAGATATGTGTTCAAATTTGTATGTATACACAGATCTATACATATGTGTGTATATATATATATATACACATGCATTGTGTGATGTATGTGAGTGTGTAGGTTTTGTGTGTGTGCGCGCGCACACGATGTGCTATGCCTACGTGTGTTTGTTTTTGTTGGGTGAGAAGATAATAGAGAGAGATGGTTGTTGTGTGGAAAGATAATGGAGAGAGAGGAAGACATTGCTGTGTGAAAAGATAATGGAGAAAGAGTTGTTGTGTGAGAAGGCGATGGACGTGACTGTCTGACTGGAGTAATCAGTTTTTTTTTTTTTTTTATCAAAAGTGATAAGTTAAAAATTGGTTTTATGGTTGATTGTCCAAACAAGTTTTATTATTTTTTATTCTTTAAAACTATTTTCAAAAAAGTATAAGGAAACAGGTTTTGCAATTTAAAAATTTTTAAAAACACCTTCTTAAAACTCTTCTCAAAAATAATTTTTAGATACTGTTTTTTTAGATTCAAACCAAACAAGCTTCATATATTTCTTTGCTGCTCTTGCTAGGGAATAATGACTTACAAGGAGATTTGATAATTCAAAACCAAAACACTAGGAATGTATCACAAGCTATTTCATTTTTTGAGTGATTCTAAACTGGTAACCAAATCAACCCACTTGCTTTCAAATGGTATCGTGTACGTGAACTACAACGTAAATATCAAGCTATCATTATCAAGTGCGGAGGAGAAGTCTTTAATTTATGCTTAATTTATTTCATTAACAAACATTTATTACAAGTCATATGCTCTTTATCCAATAATAATCTATATAAAAGAAAAGTCTTCAGTTACTATTCAATGATTTGTTTTTAGAAAATATACAATTATCTGCCATTGCCAGCTTTGGCCAGGATAGTGCAGGTGACAACAACAAATTTCCAAACCAATATGAAGACCAATGAAGAAACAAGAAAAGACATAGAGAGCAATTGCTCGACTCCAATAATTCGGGTAGAAGGCTTGAGATTGTAGACACGGAAAGTTTTAAATATTCTCAGATTCCAGAGGGCTCAACAATGAGAATACACCAAAGAATGCATTAGAAGACCCACTGTAGAAATGGAGTTAGTGGAAAGGTTATAAATAGAGAATATACCTAGGACCACCTGATACCCAATTGTGGATGAGCCTCTATATCCAGCAAATGAACCATGAACTGAATCTTACAGGTGAGGTAGTGATTAACACCAGTACCAATGCAGCAAGAGGCCTGATGAAATATGAGATCTACAAAGTCAACAGGGTTCTAACTTCTAAGAGGGCCCCTATGCCAGCAAACCTTAAAACAATTAAAAATCAAGATGAGAATGTATTCTTAGTCTCTCTGTACAATTGATGCTGCCATCAAAAAAGATGGTCTACTTGATCCATGAATCTAACCACTGGTGTAAAAGAATAATCAAATATCGAATGGTCTAACAAAAAATTAGCACATTTGCTCTAACAAGATGATCAAAGCCATAGAGGCACAAAGTACAATCCAAAAGCCCAATAAGGTAATGTTACTCTTTCCCCAAATCCTTGTTTGTAAACAAACTTTTATCATTAAGAAGAAAAATTCGACATACAGGCAGAATTTCATACAAAATATATAAATTCACACAAAAGCAAATAGCTCAGGAACAAAAGAAAACCACCTGAAACCCAAAATCCATTTCTCTGGCAGTGAAGGACATTTGGGCAGCCAGTGCCAGGTCTTCTTGGAGACTCTGTAATACAATATCTCAGGCCAACTATAGCAGCATA